GGCCGACCCAGCCCGGCCCACCCGGATTGACAGCTCTACAAGGGCTTAATGATTAAATATGTACTAATTCTGTAAGAAAGCATAAAAGTAGGGAAAATTTCATACATAAGAGATTAAATATGACCAATTTCCAAACTAAGAAACAAGGTTTAAAACTTCAAAAATTAGATTTTTAAATTTTATTTATGAAATAATTAATAAAAAAAATTTGAAGTTAAATATATTAAATTCATAATTATATACTATTTGGTCACAAATATCGAGGTAATTGGTTAAAATTTATTTCTCGAGCACAAACCAAAAATTTTATAGATCATAAATTATTTTACGGTCACAAATAAAAATTTTTATAGGCCATAATTTATTTATCGATCATAAATCAAAAAATATGTAGGTGAGTCATATATTATTTATCACAATCTCAAATAATTGGTCAAATATCATTTATTGGTCACAATCAAACTAAATAATTGGTCCAAACACACCTATCCTATGCCATCCCACCCAAAACTACTGCACCACCGCCACGACCACTACCACCATCACCACCACCACCACCGCCGCCGTCAACTACCACTACCACCTAAACACTACAACAAATTAGATCCAAAATTATTAGTTATTGCCACAACCATTACCAACATAACCATCACCATCTCACCAGCACCACCACCAACTGCAAACACCACCAACTACAAACACAGTCACCATTTGCAAACCACCACCAACTACCCCAAAATCTTCAGCACCAAAAACTCCAAAATTTTCCCACATTTCCACCACAGCAACAGCGCTCAAGCAGCACTACCCAAAATCGGCACCACCATCACCCCCACAACTTTACCAGCACCACCTCACCAGCACCGCCACCTTACGACCACCACCACCAACTACAAACACCACCAACAAAATCCACCCTAACATCACTCCACAACCACCACAAAATCAGATTCAAAATAATTGCACAACTATCTCAAACTAGATCCAAAATCACTACACAACCATCGATTGCAAAACCAAATCGACGACGACCGCTGCATTCTAAGCGCCGCGACACTACATTGTCGTTGCTACAGCAGTAGCGACGATGACTACTGCGCGCATCATCGTTGCTACAACAACGACATTAAGCGATATTTTCGTACAGTGCGCAACGACAACAACATCATCGTTGCGACTGAAGTGATGATTCGCTCCGACTGCACCATCGTCGTGGCTGCCGGTAGATAATGAACGGAGAGAGAGAATGGAGTGAATTTCGGTAGGCTGAGGGTATATATTAATTTAATTTTATAATATTATTATTAATATTGAATTATCATATGAGTTTTGTATAAACAAACTTTAAATCTGATTTTTGAAATGGTAACTTGAAAAATCCAGTTCCATGTAATTTTCAATAAAAAGTATTATATAATAGAGCAATGCTACACTGCCAGCCCATGTGGCCCCAATAGTATAAAAACCCTATATAATAATAAGAGGAGATCTCAATGATATTAAGCTCCGTTTAGTGAAAATTAAAATCAAGAACTTAATTCAAATCAAAGTCAACAATTAATTTTAATCACATTTCATGGGATCCATAATTTTTGAACAACATCGACTTCTATCACTCAAAATTTTACCTTTCATAATCTTCTTTCTTTTTTAACCTTAATTTTGGTGTATCGTATCCATCTTCATGTGTAGGGATGACCAAAAAAAAAAAAATCTATTAAACCTCATACCTGTGGGGCCCCATCTTGGATCAGATGGGAATTCCCTGCCTAAATGGGACAGGAGGGGAGGGGGCCAAGAGCGAAGATCGTTGCCTCAAGACCGAGGATTGGGGCTACTACGGAGAACATGATCCCACCCCGACAAGGTACTCATCCTAACCCACCCCACCTTAATCAAGTCATGAGAGTAGAGTAAGGAAACAAAAATACTCAATGGTGGGATGGAGGACACGAAAGGCTACCTCGGCACGCCTCATTGTCATTCCTACTCGTGTGGGACAAGACCTTAAAAATTCTCATCCCCCTTCAAATGTTATTTCAATATACAAAACCTTTTTAAAGCTACGTTGTTAAGGCGAAGTCATAATCGTCATATCCGGGTCATCAAGAATGGATCAAGAATCGAACTACAAGTTGAGCTAATATGTAAAAATAATAATTTAACACAAAAAAAATACAATAAAATAAAATAATAAAATAAATTTACTCTAAAAAATTAAAATGGGTTGGGAATTGGACCGGATTACGTCAGTGCGTGCCATTATCATAGCAACTTAATAAACATGGAAATTTATCAATAAATTACCATTTTCATATTTCCACAAATTTTAAAGAAATCCTCCACTCTTAAAATAGAAGGTAACTACCCATCTAAATGCAATGCAAAACCATACATTCATTTATCTATTTAATTTTGTAGCGTGCATTAATGAAACATGTACACGGTTTATGAACATTACTGCAGACATTTGAAGGTTGGCACAGTACACTGTTTCTGAACTTTAACGCATACATTTGTAGGTTGGTATGCCAACCGAAGGATATGTTGCAACGATAATGATAGTAAGAAGAGATGAACATCACACGCGTAATGAAATGTTGGACGTCAAAAAGACGTCGGCATAGACCAATGGGCCTTCTTGGTCACTTAAGGTGCATGGGACATGCTGGAGAGTCTTCTCCACTGTCATATCAGGCAAACGTAGAGAAGTAACACAATAGCTTCTAAGCATTTTTTTTCACTAAAACTCTTCATTGCTAGGAAAGTAACATATATGAGCTTTGTAGTATCAAATGATCTACAATACAACAATTGGATGCCAGGCAAACTTTTGACAATGTAAATTACATGCCAGTCAGCCAGTGTGAGTCTTAAGCAGGGATCCGTTTTAGTGAAAGCTCATGAAATAAGTAGAATTAACCATGCCTATTCAGATAGACCAATTTTGACAAGTGGAACTTTCATCTTTCATAAACGATCACAAGATCACTGCAATAACTAGACAAATAAGCTGTAAAAGTTCTTGAGAAATTGAGATATGAGTTGATGGCCAAACAGAACAAGGTTATGATCACATATAGAGCCCTTCTGGAACACCTTCTTTCTTCTTGAACATAACTTTGTCTTTCGCCTTCTTGAAATCTGCATGCGTCACCTGAACAAGAGTAACATATATCAACAAATAGTCACACATATCATTTATTGACACCAGAGCATAATCAATAATGTCAAATTAAATTATTATTTTTTTAATCTTTTTCCCTTTATTATTGATCAGTCAGAGTGTTAAGTTAATAACAAACCTAAACAACGCAAGATATGCATGCACAAAGGACAATGACCCCATTTTTTATGAATTCAAGTTCATATTCCTGAAATAAAATGTTCTTGCTTTCTTTTTGAATTGCCATTGTGGCTGGGAGTATTGGCAGTTGAATGTGAAGGTAACACAAATTGTCTCCCTTTGTTTTTCTTTTCGTTTTTGCCATGACTCCCACTATAGACTAGTTGGAAGAGGAATGCCTAATTCTACATGAGCAACTAAATTAAAAATTGGATTGACTCATAAAAGAGAGGCAATTTTTTGGTACGTTGGCAAAGTATAATAGCAGGAGAAAAATAATATTATTTATAGCCAACAGCAGAAAAAGAACAAAAGAAAACTAGCATTCACTCAATCTAAAATTATGTGCTGGAAAAAAGATATAATGATGGAACAAAAAATGTCTATATCAAGAACAAAAGAAAACTAGCATTCACTCAATCTAAAACTATGTGATGGAAAAAAGATATAATGATGGAACAAAAAATGTCTATATCTAAAAGATTTCTTTTAACAAAGAAAAATAAGAAAAAAGAAAGGATACAAAAAGCATATGAACTTCAAAAGGAAAAACTTTTCTGCAGTAAAAGTAAATAGTTCAACATTTTCTCTCTCGTATCCACCATCAAGGGAACTTGGTGTCCATTGGAAAGCTTAATTTAAAAAATTCTTTGCAACAGAATACTACATTGATATTTCTTGTACTCACTTATTAATGTTTAGAAAGCAAAACATGCAAGGCATTCAACCAAATATAAGACTAGAAAACCCAATTTTCTCTCTTAGTCCATGTCCACCTCCCTCTGCCATGTTTCCACTCTGTTTCTAGACCTTTTTACCATGCCGATTTGCCAGTACAAGAGCTAAACCTATTTCTGTGCATCATTTATTTTTTTATACCAGCTGTGCTCATCACCAAGGACCACATATTACAAATATTTATTGAAGCTAAAATCAGAGTATTAGTATTCTAAACGATCATGCTTTATCCTCCCCCACACTGATGAGAGCTACAATTTACAGCTTTTATACGAATATCAGGACTCACTTTCATACGACGCTCTCTTAAAGCCAGCAATCCAGCTTCAGTACATATTGCCTTGATATCAGCTCCAGAAAACTCATCTTTTGTCATAACGAACTCTTCTAGGTTAACATCATCTGCCAATGTCATCCTCGATGTGTGTATCTACATAAGAAACGGTCAGTAAGTTAAGTGGACTATCATTAAAAACGTTTCAATGGGATGACCTTATGCAATACTCCTTCGATATGTATAAACAGCTGTACCTGGAAAATACGCCTCCTAGTCTTAATATCTGGAAGAGGGAATTCAATCTTCCGGTCTATTCTACCAGGTCGAAGAAGAGCAGGATCAAGACTTTCAATTTTATTTGTTGCAAGAATAACTTTAACATCTCCTCTTGAATCAAAACCATCTAATTGGTTCAGCAGCTCCAGCATAGTCCTCTGTATTTCACGTTCACCACCTGAGTGAGCATCATACCTGTAGATAGCATTCAGTAATAAAAATATATCCATAACAGTACCACTTCCAGGCTAAGAATGTTCAGAAGATTACCTTTTCGTACCAACTGCATCAATTTCATCAATAAAGACAATAGATGGGGAGTGATCATCAGCAACTCTAAAAAGTTCCCTCACCAATTTAGGACCATCTCCCAGGTATTTTTGTATCAATTCACTTCCGACTACACGCAAGAAAGTTGCTGATGTAGAGTTTGCAACTGCCTGAAGAACATTAAAAACTGAGGCTTATAAAACTACAGCATTTTCAGCATACAACATTTTCGAATAGTCACATATCAAAGATCATATGAAGTTAAAGGACTTAATCAAACCCATGGGAATAAGTATTCCTTGTAATCGCTCCTTGTGATGCAGCAGAACCATAGCAACAAGGATCTCAAAACATGGCAACACCTATGATATTATGTAAATTAGACTTACAAGTTTCATCATGGTATATTTTTTCTTCCTTATTCTGATTTTTTTTCTCTGCATTTAGTCAAGCCACCCTACAAACTCAAAATATGTACAAATATGACAAGGCTGAAAATGCAAAGAAAAGCTCAATTAGTTCCTAACTCTTTCACCAACAAAATGCTATATCTTGCATTGTCCATCTCAGGAAAACACATTTACAAGAATTAAAGGCATAAAATCTTTTCCCCCATGTCCAGCCCCTTGGCTACCATCGAGAATGAGCAAAATACAAATTTTGGATGCTCAGGATAAAGCCAGTATTAGCATAAAAGCGTTAAATCCATCACAGATGGCATGTCAAACATACAAACATATATGCTCAGTTCGGAATTCTGAACTACAACTATACAAACCTTTGCAAGCAATGTTTTTCCAGTTCCAGGTTCTCCATACAGTATGACCCCCTTGGGAGGCTTAATACCAATGTCTTCATATAATTCAGGACGAGTCAATGGGAGTTCAACAGCCTCTTTAATCTCCTGGATCTGGGCATCTAACCCACCAATATCAGCATAAGATTCCAATGGTGCCTTTTCAACCTTCATTACAGAAACCATGGGGTCGACATCATCTTGAAGAAGTCCAACGACAGAAAGAACCTGAAATAAGTTAAAAGTTACTTTAGAAGGTACAATGTACAAAACTTGTTGATAAACTGGAATCATGGTTAGACATACCCCTTTTTCTCACTTCATCTTTTCTTTCTTTTTTGTCTTTATTATTATTATTATTATTTCAATTTTGAGAGGGGATAGGGTGCATCTTCTTCTCAAAGCATACTTTTTTTCATACAAGGCAAGTGTTTTGAAATTTCTTGAATGCATACTTATTATAGACATTTCTTTGAGGTGGGTAACACACGATTGCATCCTTATATCGTATGACAACCTTTTACAGTTGTACTACAACTATTTTTTCAAGAATTTACAGTTTCCTCCCAACCTTCATCAAATAACAAACTGGCTGCAAATTCCCATGATTATAGAATTATCTCTGATTTATTTTGACATAAAATGATTTTTTAGAAATTGTTTTTATTACAATATTTATATGAAACATGATTTTAAATAATATGACATCTTCCTCCAACAAGTTCAACTCATTGAGTAAATGATTCTCCTAACGAAATTTCGTATATATAAAAAAGAACATATACATAAATACACCACCACAAAATGCAAAACTATGACGACCACATGTCCCACCCTTCTGCCAAATCCACCCTGTTATCCAACCTCAAAACTTTCCTGTCTGTAGTTAGGGAATTGAATAGTAGAGATGTGTGCAGGCAATGTAGATGAGAGAGAGAGCATCCACTTAATTTAAAGGTTAAAATTCATACACACTAGAATCAAGGCTTTCAACAAAATATCATTATAATCAAAAATCAGAAAAAGTATTTAGACATAAAATTCAATGAATGTTAAAGTATCACAGATCTTGGAAATTTTAAATGTGAAATCACTTGCAACAGTTTCAAATGAGCCTGACCAGATCATGCAAACCAATACAAACGATCATCCCACATTTCAGTTAAGTTAATCATTAGCATAAAGTTGTGAATCTTGTGATTCCAATTAGAAAAAGAACTTGCAATAGAAATTAGTAAAATCTATGCCAAAAATGTTTTAAAGAAAGTTGTAACAGAACCTTCATGCACATATCAAACCAATATGACGTTTCAATAATAGCATCCAATATCTACCAGCATGTATGTCCCATTACTCAGAATATGAACATGGTTAAAAGTGACCCTCAAACTTCTACCAGTTTGCTATATTTTTAATGCTAGCTAAGTAAATAGATACACAATAAATAAAACAATTAGAGATTGTGTCACCCAAAAACCAAAAGCCGCAAAAAAGTGCTACCAAAGAAACAAAAAACTAGAAACCCACAATAAGTTAGAACAAAATCAGTTAAAATCAAATTNCCAGTATGCTATATTTTTAATGCTAGCTACATAAATAGATACACAATAAATAAAACAATTAGAGATTGTGTCAACTGTAGGGCAAAACCAGAAGCTCCAAACCCTGGAACCTACAAAATTTTCAAATAATCTGAAGATCCTTCCTATCCATCAAAGGCCGCAAACAAAATGCCACCAAAGAAACCAAAAACTAGAAACCCACAATAAGCAAGTACCAGATTCTACATGTACTTAAAACAGCATAAATTCATTTTTCTAATGATTTAAAGTAGATAAAATAACAGTTTAACCATCAATATTTAACTAATAACATTCCAGACCAGCATTAGCCAAATGTCAATGGAACCCTATCTTCCATTTTCCTCACCTCTCAAACCCAGTCCTCCAAATATACTTTGCTCTCTAGTGCTAACCTTAAATTTCAAATCACTAATTTCCATTTATCCTTTAAACTATTTCTAAATCACCCCCAATTTTAACCAGAAACCCAGCCTCTCAAACCCCAGCTACAAAATACAAAAAACCTAATTTACGAAACCATAACATCGAAAAATACCTTATTGTGCATGAGAATCGAGCAGCCGGGCTCGAGCTGATCCTTGTCGACGAAGGACAAGATCCCGACGTAGTACTCTGGCCCCACAGACGACGAGACAATGGCATGATTCTCATCAATCAACTCCTCCAAGTTCCCAACGCTCATGGGAGACCCACGCAGGTCATCGACCTTCGATCGATCCTCCTCTGTTTTCTCTTCCTGGGGCTTCAACCTTTCCTGATTTGCTACGAACTCTTCTTCCATCAACAAATAGTCCTTTATTCTTTCGAGCTTTAGCAGCCGCAGTTTGCACTTGGACAGTGGCGTCACTGTCGGGATCCGGGCCGCCGCCTCGGACCCCTTTTGCTTCCTCTGCTTACGGCCCACACGGGCAGGCGCCGGCGGCGGCTCGAACTTCTTGTCTTTCTTGTCGCCTTCATTCTTCCGGTCTCCGGGGAACTGGCGATTCAGTCCGCCGGGCGTGCCCTGACCCATAATTCTGGTATGGAATTCAGAAGTAAAATTGAGAGATGTGTGTTTATATTCAAGAATGGGTTACACTTGAGCGTGTTTGGCTAGGTTAAAACTAACAAG